GGGGCTATTGCCAAAGGTCTTGGATTAAGCATGATGTAATTAATGCAATATCTCATGGAGAAGGAGGGAAAGGGCTTTACGCTGATTTATTAGCGCTGTCAGGATTACTTACATAATATTCACCATTCTCATCATGACTGCTATCACAGGCAGGTGTGAGAATTGAGTTTTATTTCATCAGCAATAAAGTCAAATTGATGAGATGTATTCAAAGAACAAGTATGAACAATATCAAAGTCACATACCTAGAAGCATGATTGGGCCCAGTTTTTGCATAATACAGCTAATGCTAACCCTATCAGAATAACACAAATACTTTGCTTCTTGAGTGGGCTGGAAAGTTCAGTTGGCAACTCATATGTTCACTGGTGATTAAGTGAAACTGCTCAGCTTTTGGCTTGGCTACCAGTAACACGATGAGTTTAATGGTATATTCACTTCTGCTGTTGATTACTTTATCATCTATCATTTAGTCTCTGTCGTCAACCGCAATATCACTCGACCGCGTTTATTTTAATTTTCCAGTTTTCATGGGGTACTCCTAAAAAAGCACAATATTGGAGTGATGGCAAGAAATTTTATGGAATTACTACGATATTTTTTCAGCATAATCTCCTTGAAAGATAGCAGCTCGTCAAATTTTACTGCTGATGGGAGATAATGATGAATGATTCTGTCAGGATTACGGAGTGATCTAACGATAGCACGAAAGCAGACAAAACCACATCAGATTGAAACTGGATGACTCACTAATTGCATTATGGCTCATATTGAGGAAATGCATTGAAGTTGCGGAGAAAAACGAAAGAGAACAAAATTTAACTGCAACAATGGAGTAGAGCATTCAAATTATTTAAAAAAGAGAATAGCTCAGAAAATTACAAAGTTTGTGCAACAGGTGCTGTATCTAGATAGAACACAGCTAAATTTACACAGATATGTTTCAGTGTTGTCAGATGCCATTGTTGGCATGACTTGAGAGGAAGGTTATGGTATGAATGTTGAAAGAAAACTATGATGGAACCTTAAATGTCCCCGATGCGCATGTCAGAAATGTGGGATCGGCCCGAGAAGGGGATGGGACGGACCCACCCCTCATCTTAGTGATGATTGGGCCAGGCTGCATTCCCACGCAGACCGTCCGGCACATTTGTCCGAGTGTATGGCATCTCAGATGGAGAAAATGGCAACATCCTGTGTGTAAATATGGCCAAGATGTGTTTTTACAAATCAGCTGCCGCAAACAGAACCAGGGAGATTGAATGGCAATGGGCGACAAATAAATGATTGTTTTTAAACAGCAAAAAACAGAATAATATTTTTGATTGTGCAAGAAACGGAGGCACTTGGTTCAGGTCTGTTCATACAATATTCATGGTAATTTCAATTGAAGCAAAATTTGTGTTATTTCCAAATGCATACAAATTTTTTTGACAGGATGGGGATAGTATCTCATTGACTCATTCTCCATCAAGAAGCATTTATTTCCTTATCTTAAAAGCTTAGTCACATTAAAAAATAAAAGTTATTCATTCCTTTTATTGGCTCATTTGGTGTATTTTTACAGCCCTACTGGAAAACTACTCAGTACTCCATTATTTTGAGTATGTAAGCAAGCAAAATACCAAAGCTGCTTTAAGCTCTCATTAAATGCCATCATGAACAACAAGCAGTCCTACTGTTTTTAGAAACTAGTTCAAATAAAAAGAAGAAAGTAATTCAAGGAATGTGCACATACAGTTACACCACTTCTTAATGATTTAAAAAGTCAATTTTTCAGAAACTTGCATCCTGACGCAATCATTTAAAGCGTTTGTCTTTGTTGAAACACAAAATGTGTACTTTCTAGTCAAACAAGCGAAACCGCCTCAACAGAAACAAATAACTGCTGGGCGAGTTTAGATGCGAACAAGTGGGACATTAAGAGAACAGGTCAAAATGTTGTTCAGCTGTGTGTAAACTACAGATAGGCTGCTTCAAAGGGAAGCACTAGCTTCCCATTTCCTCCAGTAAGAATTATAACAGACTTCCAGAACGGGCTCTTTCAGGGCTGTTTTCGTAAGATGGATGATTGAAGGCTGAATAGGAAGGGGGTGACGTTGTGGTCACTTCCGTTACCTTTCATGCTTCCTGGCCTTATTTACAGTTTTATCCTCAAAAATATTTACCCGCTATGCACTTTTTGCTGTTGACAATAGGGCAAAACAAAGTTGCATGCTAAATGGAATGCCCTAGTAACAATTGGGCGATAATATTGGACAAAGTATATTATTATGTTCCTAATTCCCTTGTTCCTTTGAAAGGCAGGGTGCTGGAATGTGATTAAAGTTGAAGAAGGTGAGATGTTTGCTAATCTTAATGATGGGATCAGATGACCTCTGTTCTCTTGCTCGTCCAGAAAGACAGGATAATTCATGGGTGATGGTGGAAACTATTATGAACTCAACCCTTTAGATGATGTAAAATGATGAACATCCACCTCTTAAATTCTTTTATGTATTATTACCATTGTTGGATTAGCAATAGTTAGAGTTGCAAAAAAACAAACAAACAAACAAACAAACGGAAAAAAAAACTGGCGCTGTTTAAGAATGGTGTGAGGTGGTAAGTAAGCCTGGAAGCAAAGGTATTTTATATCACAGCGCAAGTTTTACCTGTGGCCCACTAGACAAAATTGAATTCCAATCTTCACCAGCGACAGCGTGGTCATCAGTATGGAAGGATAATGGAAAGTTTGATGATTATATGTATGACTTGACAGGGAACCAGAATGAAAAGGTTCTGTTATGATTTGAGTATTAGTACTTTTATGAACTCAAATCTAAGCAGGGGGAAAGTAAGCCGGAACGCAGCGGTACGCCGTATCGGGAAGAGATATACAGTCCTCTACAGCCGGTACGCAAGGGTACGCCTCGGAAGAGCAACTTTCACCCCTGCACACAACGTGAGCCCTTTCAATTTTCAAGCGAATTTCTCCGAAATAAATGTAAATTTGATGAATACATGAAAATCATCAACAGAATGTACCGCCCGTGACGTGTTGAAGTAGATTTTAGTGCGCTGGACAAACGTTATCATTTGTAGTAGGCTACTCGCTTACCGCGATATGTTGCAACTTGTAGGCAGTCTACACTCTGCATTGTAACGTTAATCCAATGGTAGTGACTCGAGTGCTGTGGATTTTTGCAGACAGCAGTGAGCAGTCGTTTTTGCAAAAAAAACAAAAGAAATCCCCCAAGTAATAAATTGTGAGGTTTCACGATTAACAATCTAAATCATGAATGACTCTCTGTCATGCGAGCGAGTAGTCCACCACTCACTTCCGCAAACAAACACATGCAGAAAGTGGGAATACTCAATGCGTTCTTTTGATTGGATGCTGGTTGCCTAGGTGATTCAAGGCTGGGTGCTGAGGGGTTGCGTGCATCCTTTTGACAAGGAACGGTAAAACACTACTTGTTCAAAATGCAAAGAAAAATTGATTTTATGTTTAAAAGAAAAGAGATGATAAAACGGTGGCAGTTGAGGAACAGATGGAGGAAGAAGACAGATTCCACAGAAAGTGTGACCAATTGTCAACTTTTATTTTTGAACCAATATAAAAAGTACCATCTCTCTGTATTTTCAATAAAATATGTCAACAGAATAAAGAATAATTGTCTTACCTGTAAAAGCATGGCTATTGTTGTTCTTTTGTTACTTTTCTCTAAAAAGATGACTTTATTCTGGAATTGGGCGATATCAGGACGGAAAATTGTCACAGTCACTGAATCCAATGCATTAATCCAGTTGCGAACGTTACTAAGTGTTCTGTCCAGTCCCATAACGTTAGCAACAGGGCCACTACGAAAAGAACAGTACATCTACTACTGAAGGTATGACAGGAATATGTTCCCCATTCTTTATTTTACCAAGCTAGATACCGTTCTGAAATATCCTGAGCGCCAATTCATGCCGTGAAGCCAGTTTTGGCCGCGAACGTAATTTCTGTCCGATGTGTGGTCGTAACGTTCGCTCTGCATTCCGCATTTAAGTCCCTATTTTATAACAACCGGTAGTCTGAAAGCGGGGTAAAGCGCATGCGCGAGGGGATGTTGACTTCCTGGCCTTCTAGAATTTTCACCAACTCGCGTTTGTGTCCCTCATCAAAAAGGTAAAAATTTCCGTCCACAGTAATAACGTTAGCAACAACCTGTAGTCTTAGTACAGCACTGCTGTGAATGAGGTTTGGCGGCTGCTGGCAGGGTATTTAAACCCTTTTGAGCAGTTGAGGACACGAAGCTGCAGATTTATGCTCGCAGTTACAATATTCTCTCACTAGATAGCACACCCGGATCAGTTACTGAATTTTCACAAGCAAGCCGAGTTTAGAATATGGACGAGTTCACTCCAATCCCTGGATGGATCAAGCCAACCTTGGTTTGACTTAAAGGGGTTAGCACATCCATACTACAGGGTGGCCCAAAAAAGTGTCCCTCCTTCCTCTCAGAACTCCAAGGTGGCTGAGGAACTTGGAAATGAGGGGGCAGGATTGACCAGTGTATGAAGTAGGTTATTATGATGAATTTTTTATTTGTGTAAATTTACTGTAGGCTGTAAGCTAGCTTCTGTGCAGTTCACAGAACAATGATGTTTGCACTTTACCTGAAAATAAATGTTTTGCCATAAATTACGTTACGTGTCTAACATCATACATCATGCACTCAAGGACGTACACAGAATTTAAGAATCTCAAAGTCAGAAAAGAGCAGTCTTTAATATCTTTAATATGATGCGAGCGCGCGAAGAGCGCGAGCAAAAAATTTTTTTGAGTAGCACAGTTCCTGCAAGAATCTAATCTTACTTTCACCCCTGCTGAAGATGACTCCAATATGGAATCGAAACACTGTGTGTTCAGAAAATTAATTGATTTATTAATTAATCTTCCAAATGTTCATTTTGACAATATGTCATGTGCATTGTGGTCTTGAGAGATCAAGCTTCCAAACTGCTCCCAACTGGACTCGGTAGCTCAGTTGGTAGAGCGGTGGGACGGAATTCCTAAGTCGTGAGTTTCGATCCTCGCTCGGATTCAGATTTTCTGATCTGGTCTTGAGCAGTGTTGGTATAAATTGGGAATATACGAACATGTGTGAAAAGCTTTCTTAATGTTTTAAATGAAACAACCAAAATCATAACAATAATTTAATACAAAATAAATTTCAACAAAATCAAGGTTTCATAATTATTGTCACCCTTCATTTAGTACTTAGTGCAACCAGCTCTGGCAAGGAAACAGCTTGGCATTTTTTTCCTGTAATTTTTGACAAGGTTAAGGCACTCATTTGGGGGGATTTTGGACCATTCTTCTAAGCAGATCCTTTCAAGATCTTTCACTTTCTTGGGCTTGTATTTATCAACTGCCTTCTTCAACTCAGCCGGCAGGTTTTCCGTTGGATTGAGGTGTGGCGACTGATATGGCCATTGCAGAACGTTGATTTTGTGGTCACAGAACCATTTCCGTGCGGATCTTGAGGTATGCATTGGGTCATTGTCTTGTTGGAAAGCCCAGCTATGGCCAAGTCCCAGCCTTCTGGCAGAGGCAACCAGATTGTCAGTTAAAATATCCTGATACTTGGTGGAATTCATTATGGCATTAATCTTAACCAGTACCCCTGGACTTCTTGAATTAAAACAACCCCAAAACATGACTGACCCACCATCATATTTCACAGTGGGTATGAGGTGCATTTCCTGTATGCATCTCTGTTTCGACGCCAAACATGCTGATGCTGTATCTGACGGAAACGTGCGATTTTGGTCTCATCTGACCAAAGGGCCTTGTTCCAGTCATTTAAATGACGTTTGGCAAACTCCAAGTGCTTGCTTCTGTGTCTTCTGATCAGAAAAGACTATCTTCTGGCAACCCTTCCAAAGAGCCTGTGGTTGTGGAGGTGGCGCCTGATGGTGCTTTTTGAAGCCTGGTGACCCCAAGATGCCACCAAGGCCTGCAATTCTTGGGGATTTTGTTGCTTCTCTCACGATCCTCCACAGTATCCTGGGGGGCAAAATGCAGTAGCATCTTCTACCCTTGAGGTTTTCAACAGTTCCATATCTTTGGAATTTTAAAAAAATTGCCGTGACAGTGCTCGGTGGCATATTTAATCATTTGTGAATCTTCTTCTAGCCATTACCAGATTTATGAAGGTCTATGAATCATGTGCCTTTTTTAACTGACAGTTGTTTTATTCTCTTCAAGATGTTGGATGACAAAGGGACATTGCACATAGGTTACCTCATTTTTATACCCTAGTGAAACAGGAAGTGATGTAATGGCTCAATACATTTCCCTAACACTTAGATAAAACTTATACAAGTGGAACTTAATACCTGGTTTAATTATATCCCCGAAATATGAGTTTTGGGGATATCATGGTTTCGCCCCACTGTCCGCCGCCACCGCGTCTGCAGATTTTAGCCCTTAGCGTGATAACTCACAAAATACTTTACATTGGCTTCTCATTTTTAGCATATAGGTAGATATGGTAGAGAGGATGAACTGATTAGATTTTGGGCAAGTATGCACTCCTAGGTTTGCCACCAGGTGGCGCTATATATTGAAAAAATCTGTTTTTTAATCATATCTCTGGAACAATTACTTGCACAGACCTCAAATTTGCCTCATATTGTAGGTCTAGTAAAGGGGAATCTAATAAAGGGGGCTTCGATGATTGGGGAATTTCGGGGATATACCCCTTGCTGTCGGCCGCTGACAGCGTAGGCCTAGTTTTGATAGTTGTTATTTATCACAATCTTTAAGGGTGCCATTAATTGTGAAACCTTGATTTGGAGGACATTGATTTCTAATTAAATCAGTAAATGATTTTGGTTGGTTCCATTGGAACATTAATATTGTACATTATATCTCACTTGTTGGTATTTAGAGTTTCTCTGTAAATATGTTTCAGAATTTTTTAAAGTGTTGTTTGTGCAGTGCCAGTCAGGGGTGCTGGTAATTTTTGAGCTCACTGTACATATTCTGTATCTGCTGGTCACAGTGCTTCACTGAAGCTACATCACACTTATACTGAGAGAAGTATTCAAACCCAGGACGCCATGGTTTTATGGCCACAGCATTACAGCGAATGGAAAATATCTGGATCTTGTACATCATTTTATACTCATCTCCCTGTAATTCAGCAGGAAAGTATTGCGATCGCTGGAAGCCTTGGGATCTCCGCTAGCATTTAAAATAGGCCTGAAGTTCTTCAGGTTTTAATACAACAGGTGCAGTTATGGGTTAACATGATCTCTTCTTTAGAATATTTGAATTACATTATTCATTAATTTAATTTTATCAACAGCAGTGGCAAGAAATTTATTTTTTCCTCAATAAGAGTCATTATAGAAAGAAAGAAATTATTTTTTTCTCTCCACTAATGCATTACTGAAAAATACAGGTGTTTATGTTTAATTAAACTGTCAGATTGAGCCAGTGCTGCTTCAGTCATGCATTTTTAGGGATGTTGCCAGTTGAGGCTCTGTCCCTTGATGCAGTGGCACTGACTCAGCATGGCCATGCCAGAGCTAAATGTCGGGTCGCACATTATTAATTATAGTGGAGCATACTGTTGGTACTGAGAGAGCCAGGACATCAAGGTAGGCATTTCAGACTTTTTTATGCATCATCATTCCCTCAGGTCCCAGGTCACCTGAAAACTGCCTGCATCAGCAGCATACAACCTTCAGTAACTCCACTCAGCTGCTGGACTTTACAGTAAAAAATGCACAGCCTTTGGGTCACCTGCCAGCTTCCTGCTTCCTTACTTGTTCTGGGATAACAATTAGGGCAACAATTCTACATTGCAGAAATAGTAAAGGGTCTAGAGTCCCAGATCCTTAAAATAGCTTTTTAACACTTTGCAGACTGATAGATGTCAATAAACTTGTTTCTCATCTGTTCTTGATTTTTTTATATCACGGCATCATGTGCTGCTTTTTGCTTACTTCACATTGCCAGACAGGTTCTATTTAAGTGATGATGAAATTCAACAGGGCAGGTAGTAATCGTGCCTGAGTGTGTTTTGTGAAAATGAATCAAATTATTGATTAAATTTATTTAGTTGGTTGATTTAGTAACTAAGGGGGCAATTACTTTTTCAGTGTAGGGGTAGGTTGGGTTGGCTAGAGTTTCCTCCATCAGCAAATAAAATCATCATTTAAAGTAGCATATTTTGTTTATTCAGGTTATCTTTATCTAATATTAAAATTAGTTTGACGATCTTAAACATGTGTGACTAATGTGCAAAAATAGAAGAATTCTGGAAGGGGGGGAAATACTTTTCCCCTGCTCTGTAAAGCAGATGTTCTGGTAAGATGATGCATTGTTTACATGCATTTATATATTGGTCTTTGATCAAGATCAGTGACCAAAGTTGGTCTCAATTCAGTTTAAATTCTATTTAAAAGGGAACTAATCTGAAATGTTATATGTCTTGATATTGGGGATTTCACTCAGCATTTACTCAATTAAGTTGAAGTTTATTCCTGTATTGACTGATCTGAATTTTAAGTGAACCTAACGCTGCTAATATTATCAAAATATAAACAGAACTTTAGCTATCCCTTGCGGGAGCTCTTTTAAACAAGTTGCCACATGATAGGTTTTCAACAGCTCAGGATAACTACATTTTTAATTCCTTGAAAATGTATTCAGCGCTCAAAGGGTTAATAAAACGATCTTGCACTGCCTGTTTTGGTTTGGTTCCCTGCTGTAAGTTAAATCCTGACACATTATCCTTTAGCTTGGTGAATAGGTCCTGAGGACTGATCAAGAGGGATAGAGGCCCGCAGATGGAACCGTGAAACTGACCAATCAGTATTGGTTCTGCGATGTGTTCCTGAAGCTGGGCTGCTCTTTAACCCTTAGCTTAGCCTTTCAATCATGTCTTGCAGTGTCAGGCAGATGGTGTCTTCCCATATTTAAAGTCCGCAGAAAACCACCGTTATATAATATTACATTAAGTGCTCAATCGTAGTTCAGTCTGTTCCAGCATAATTATAGGAACACAGATACAGGGTGGTGTCCAATCCATGTTGACTTGCTTGGATGTCCAAGTCACAGTTCTTCTGACCTGCAATACACTGTATATGGAGACCACTGTTGGTTTATTCATGACTACTTTCAAAATTACCTGACCTTTCACAATACCTTGAATGTTTCAGCAGTCCCAAGCTTCTTACTTCAAAACGGCCTTAGTGCTACGTATTCAAATCACCACAAATCTGTTTTGTGAGGCAGTAAAATAGGCATTAAAAATCTGTAAGAGCAGAAAGAGAGGATTTATGAGTAGCCATTACTTTTTGTGTTTTCCTCTGTCATGATAATACTGCTTTTTCATTCTTTCCCACTGCTGTTAGCTGCTGCTAGTATACTGTATGTTTTCGATCAGCCCAGTGTTTACATTGGGTTTAATTTGTATTGCTCATCAAGCTTGTATCCACTTCCCTTCTCCCACACATGCCCACAAATAATATTCAACAGTCATATCAGGCATCAAGCGTCACTTGTACTTAAGCTTTTGACAGACTTGCCTAACTGGAAATATGCTGGAATGGACACAGTAATCACACAACAGTCACACCAGAGGGATGGCCTGTGTGCGCCTTTCGTCTCTTGCAACACATAATTCCTTTGAAGTTGAGAATACAATACTCTGCAATTATAGCTTTTATTGTTTCATTCACAGAAGCCATCCTACGAACAAATATTGCAGAAAAGACCTCACACTGGAACATTCAGACAGTACAACAGCATATCCAGGGAAGCTATTGAAGCAGCCCAATTTGCGAGTCAAATCAAAGCACAAATACTGGCAATGATGAAATGAAATGGGCACATACGTATGTGCTTGAGAGCATGTGTGTTGTGTGTCTTTCAACAAATGTTTGTGTGAGCTGGTACAGGGAAGGGAAATATCTTGAACACTGGCCAAAAAGTGAAACCTGGTAACCAATAAACAAGTAGGCCCACCCTTTGCCTTCAAAACAGTTTCTAACCTTCTATGAGCGCTCTTTTGATACATTTCAGAACC